TTTTGGTTGTTGGATTTTTTGCTCCCAGCTTGGATTACTTGGTTTTTTGGCTCTCCTTCAAAATAAAGACTTTTTACTTATATCTTCACCCCTGCCTCCGTGTCATCCTGGGTACTGCATTTTGGGTCCACCAACACCGCATCGTGACATTGTCCAGCATCTCAGAGAGGTCACCGTTCCTTTTCTTAAGATCTTTGATTTCCCTCTTAAAGTTCTCGTCAACGGTGACCTCACGCTGGGCGTTCCTCTGCTCCTGGACACGAACGAGTCTGAAGTGACGAATGTGTTTGCAGATGTTCAATGAAAACTATCTTTTCTGCAAGCTGCTTTTACATTCTTCAGCTTGTCAATAAACTTCTTTTCTATGTTGATTTTCTCATCTTTTTCTTTGCTAAACATCACTTCTAGGTCCATTTGGTCTAAAACGAATGCCTTCTGTATTTTTAATCCAGTTTTATATCAAAATACAGTTAATATTTTGCGTAGATAGCCCGAAAAGAAGGGGTTGAATTGATTTAAAGTTGAAAGAGTCTCCCAGGCAGGATCTAACACGTACGTGTAAATGTTCCCTTCGCTCATCATAAACTCCTCTTCCAGTTTTTTCTACAACACTCTGCTAAATGTTTCCTATTGGATGCATCTTTCTAGACTTTTCTGTGTGTGAATGTGCATCTGTATTAAAACTAGAACAAAACCACGACCCTGAGAAACGAATGCAACCAAAATGATGTTTTTATGTCTGATTTATCTCACTTTTTCCTACTTTGATGAAACAAAACAGTTTCCTGTCATCCACTAAGAAATTTAACCCAGTTTGGGTCAAAATAAGTTTTGATAAAGGGACGAACAACGAAGTCCTTCAGGGGTACTTCTGAGTAAAAAATGCTCATGAAATATGTGTGTGGAGTAACCAAGTAGGTAGGTTTTAACGTTGCTAATCTGCAACGCCTGCCTCCAGAGGGTTAAAGGTAAACCTACATGTTTCTAATTCATGAATGCGTGAGCCGTGTTTTCTAATAGCTTTGTAACACCTGGGGAGACGTTATCACACAGCTGCATGCTAGTGACGAGTAAATATTGGGTTTGGTGGACTTGACTGTGTTATTCTATAAATGTCAATCACAATCTGTGCTATAACTGGAAGTGGACTGGGTAATGCCCCGATGCTCTGACAGCAGGGCCCTTATTGTTATTCACCGGAGGATTTCATCTCTTTGTTTTTCTTATTCCTCAGACTTTAATGCGGCTCGAACGGCCCCTATATATTTCACATCAAAACGAGCGGCTTGACCGTGGCAAGAGTTGTATGTCGTGATTTTGGGACAGTAACCCCAATGTCTCCCAAATATCATCCTTTGGGTTTTTCAACAAAGCGTCCCACAGATATACATTGAAAAGGCCAGCTGAAATCTATCAGATTTGACTTGTAAAGCACTTTTCAAGCAGTGGCGGTAGCTGCATCTGCTAACACTAGAATACTTTGGTTGTATAGTGACTGGGTCATCATGTTTCTTCTTAAATTGTATTATATTTTGGAAACGTTGAGACATCGCTCAGCCCTATGTACTATGATTAATATCATGCCTATTGTGTCTAAATATTGTTTTTAACTAAGAATTATCTAATAACATTGAGAGGAGCCAGTTGCGGTGGCTCGAGTATCTAGTTGGGATGCCTCATGGACGCCTTCCTGGTGAGGTTTTCTGAGCCACGTCCGACCTGGAGGTAACTTAAGGGAAAACCCAGTTCACGCTGGAGGGAATTTGTCTCTCCGCCGGCCAGGGAATGCCTTGGGAACTGGCCAAAGTGACTGGGGAGAGGGAAGTCTGGGCCTCTCTGCTTAGGCTACTGCCCCCGTGACCTGACTCCAAAAACGGAGCAACCTTGAAATCCATTAAAGCGTGTCTAAATATTGTTTGTCATCTAATAATCTAACGATTTATCTAACTAAGAAACGAGTAGGACCAAATAAGCGATTGCTTTAACCTACTTCCTATTTCAAACACTTTTGTTTGTACAGATATGCACTTCTGACATTTTTCAGCTTTCATTGAGATAGATTTGAACTAAACTAAAATTAATCTAAAAGCTGAATAACTCATCTAATAAGTTATAACCTCTTACTTCATCTAACTAATAACTTCATAACTTATCTAAAGAGACATGGTAAGATAGGAAAGCCAACAAATTATCTAATAAATTCAATACTCACTAAGGAAAGCTATTGATCATCTTAAAACGTATTAAACGCATCAATACTACAAGTCATAGCTGCATGTCCTGAACAATCTAAGCACTTAGATACCAAATGTAAGGTAATTGCTGAAAAATTGTAGAATAAGATGCTTTATAAAACTTCTGAGCATGTCTAAATATGATTTCCCGTCCTAAAAGGGCTGATGTGGGTGGACGGAGGCAGCCTGGCGTTTCTCAAAACTACAAACTGGGAAATCCAGCTTTGATTATGGATTCAGTTTTTATTTCTCTTAAATATTTGACGTTCCACTTTCCATCAAGGCTATCAGCCGACTAGATGGGTTAAAACCTGATGCATTATTATAATGACTAGTAACGCACCGATTAAAAACCATCCACACACTTTAATTATCCCCCGTGAGTGGGCTGAAAAAAAATCCCTAAAAGATCTCAATCTTCGAACGATAGCATCCACAATCCCGTTCGACACTCTTTCATCTCTTGATTTGACCACATCTGCGAGGCAAAAAGCTGATTCTGTCCTTCGAAGATCGCGGCAAACGTTGTTAGCAAATCTTTCGGTCGACTCTGGGTTATTAGGAAGGTTTCTAATTTTGCTAAGTTTACACAGGGTACTATGCACTAGACGATCGATGAAACCCGTGTCCCCTTCTGAAAGTTGATGCCTAATATCGATGGCTTCGATTCTTAGTAAAATCATGTGAGTTACTGACCAAATAGCTGAGTGGATAAAATAATTTTTTTCTTTGAGTTGCTCGATGGCTGATTTTTGAAACGTGTGACCGTTTTTTGTACTGTGATGCACTTTCATAATCATTCTGCTGTTGTAGGAAACGCTGTTAAAAATGAGAACTATGTGTCGTCGACAAAGGTAACTTCTCTTCTGACGAGATAAACTGTCTGTGTTGTTGATGAAGCTGATGAACTCTTTATGATGTCATCTGATCAAGGACACTTAAGCTCCGCCCCCAACAGTTCTGCACTACTACTGCTTGGAGAGGGAGCTCGCTGCAGAACCACAGAGCAGCACCAGAGTCAGCCCCGCCCACTCACGCAAACAGCCTAGCCCACTGACTTTTTCTGTTTGTTTTGTTTTTTAATCGCAAACTAACCTGACCCACATGAATTACGGCTGTTACTAGTTTACAAATGTTAATGCTATGTTCTATGCTCCAATTAAGCAAGATAAATATAACTTGCTACATGACAAAGACTGAATATATCCTGAAAGTAAAAGGTTTCATTTAGCAAATATCCGCCTATAGCCGCTCCAACAGAACTGAGGTACAAAACCGTTTAAGGACTGGCTAACCCAGATTGCTGTGGTAGTCTAGTGGTAAGATCAGTATGTTTAGGTTTTGCTTTCCCCTCAGCTGATGCTGGTTCGATTCTCGGTGGGGTCGACAACAATCTATTTAGCCAGCTGAAACATTTAATTTGTTTATATTTTAGTTGTAATGTTTATTTTCTGCAAAATATTTATGTCTCTAAAAGTTCTTTGAAGTTGGTCGTTCCTAAACAGCATTTTAGTTGAAACTCTGCTCACAAATGGACTCACACTGGCTAAATAAATGAATAATAAAAAAAACACATTAGTCATTATATTTTAAACGGTGTACCAAAAAATGGTTAAAAACATAGTAGTGGCAAGTGTAGCTAGAAAAGAAAAAAAAAGTTTGCCCCGCTACCGAGCTGTCTGCACAACCACTTCACCACTACATCTGATAAAAAGCATAAAGCGTTACATGTTATTGTGCCATCGACGGTCTCTTTGTAGATGGGATGTATGGTTTATTGGCGGTGTCTCAGTAGAAGTCATTTCAGAAATAATTTGTCAGAAAATTCACAGAATATCCAGATTTGAGAACCAAGACCTGACCCGCTTCGGGGGAGGAGACCAAATTGAAGCTGAGATGGGAGGAAAATGCGTGAATGAGGCCAAAAATGGCTTTGGCATTTTTTTTGGGGGGGGATTTATTTTTTGGAATTTATTTAAATTTATTTATTTATTTTTACATTCTTTTCATTAACTTTCTCAATTATAAACACAACAACAACATTACCTGGACAGAGTAGTAGTATTTTTAATTAGTAAATTATTAAATAATTATAAAACAAATCTATGTTAATTAGAAACATTTACCAGCATATGTTTGTAGTTTCTAATCAAACATGTCAGATATAATAAAATAAAACACAAATAGAAACCATCTTGTAGAAAAGCTAAATGTTTGATCGTAAACAGCTGATTTAATTTGATAAGCATATTTAATCAGATAAATTAAAAAAATATTTCATATGGGTTGAAGGCAAAATTGAAGATAAGTTAAATGTAACACCTACATTTGAAAATAACAAGTGAAGGTAGAAGAAACATTTACAGACAGCAGGCTATTTAACCCTGAACATCATTTTAGTGAAATATATTTTCTGTAGGAATTTGCCACCTGTGTGCTAGAAGCTTATTAATTCGAAAGAGATAACGTCACATAAATGTCTGCAGTGAAAAGTTTTTTCCACATTTTATCAATAATTTCTTTGACATGTTCTGCTCATAATTAATTAACACATAGTGGATTTTTTACACACCCAAGTGTGTTTACAGCATCCAATTAACTCATCTGCCTTAATATGACTTTGTTTTATCTGCCAGACTAATGCATCACTTTACAAAACCTAATGGCACACACACACACACACACACACACACACACACACACACACACACACACACACACACACACACACACACACACAGACCAGAAAACCTGCTCATACTGATT